ATGGTAGCCCCTGAAACCAGCTAAACTATTCGGGGCATTCCAGTCACATTTATGGACAGGAACACATGCTTGCATGATGTCTGGGTGACCTGCTGAAACAGGCATGGTTAGATACCATATCTATAAATAAGATATTCACCATTGCCTCAAGGGGAAAAAAACATTTAGCTTCCCACTTACTTGGGTCTCCTTCTGCATCCAGTAATTTCCCAATCAGCTGTTCATAGGTAGTGCCCACTTTGGCACTGCTGCTGCCTGCTGCTACTGTCAGGTGATACAACCAAGTATCCTTGGGATAAAAAGAGTGATGGTTGAGTGTTGCCGGAAAGTTTCCCACTTACTTGGGTCTCCTTCTGCATCCAGTAATTTCCCAATCAGCTGTTCATAGGTAGTGCCCACTTTGGCACTGCTGCTGCCTGCTGCTACTGTCAGGTGATACAACCAAGTATCCTTGGGATAAAAAGAGTGATGGTTGAGTGTTGCTGGAAAGGTTATATGATTAACTCTAAAGCATTAAACATGAGGCATGCATTCAAATGTATCATTTTAATGGGCTTGAGTGATAAACAAAGAGCTAATTTGGGCTCTCTGCAGCTCTTACTACATGTTTCTTGATCTCAAGCTACCACAGGGGCCTTTCCACGGAATTCATATTTTGTACATAAAACAGTGCTTTCATAAGTATCATGGAACAAACCAGGAGATCCAGGCCAGACAGCAAGCTCAGTGATTTTTGTGCATTAGCATGTAGTGCCCCCTACACCTTAGCCCCCAGGCTCTTTTTTGAGTCAGTCTATACCTTTTCCTGTTTTGTACCAATTAGTAAGTAGACAGGACTCTGATCTGGAGGGTGAATCACCAGGGTGCAGTAAGAAGAAAAGAGGCCCCCACCACTGGCCTCATTATCCTCATCAGAGTCACAGGAGCGATCCACTTCTTCCACTTTTGATTCACGCATGTGCAAATAGCCTAGAGGGCACTAAGAAAAGAAACTGAATATGTTATCAAGCACGGCAGGGAAAACAAGAGACATTTAGTAGACATGCTTCTGAAAAGCTAACATTGCTATTACCACTGCTCAGCGGTGCATACTAATGCTATCCAATATAAGCCATGAATGGTACTACCATGGCCTTCACAGTTGGCATCTGCAATAAACACTTACTACTTTCTTTCCAGTACAATGTACTTCATAGTAAATATGTATGTCACAAGTGTGGTCAGTCTGTAGCACAAATGTCATGTAGCACTAAGAGCAGGATTTTCTGTACTACCTCAACAGGAGCAGGAGGGCCTAAGGTCATATCTGTCTTTCCAGAATTGCTCTCTTTCCTTCTCCACCCTTCATTACACTAGAGGCAAAAGTACACATCTGGCCCCATCACTCCTTGGCAAATTCAGTACAAAACCCTTGCATGAGTGTCTTCAGATCTAGGCCAAAACCATCCCCAGCAATAATAAATATCTTATGCAGGCTTTATTCTCCCTAACATATCCCCTTCTGCTATCCAGTATTTGAACAGAACATTATGAAAACCAACTGCATTGTCTCTTTAAATACCTTGAAGAGTTTCAGGGCCTCTGTCTGCAGGGCCTCTGAAGGCAGAGTGGTGAGGGGCGTGTGCAGGCCGTCCTTGCTGTGACACAGCACAGGGTGTTTCCACAAAGGAGAATCTGAAAGAGTGGACAAGACAAAGCTATACTAGATAGAGGGGAACTCTTGCAAAGTAGTGTTCACACCCGGTCTCAATAGCTTCACACTTGACAGTTCGCCAACAGAGCGGAACAACACATTAGGAAAAACCACTAACTACAACCCTCTTGGAGACTTCTTTATTTCAAAATATTGGCAAGTGGCTGCACATTTTGCCATATTAAAAACTATGCATTTTTCTGAAGATGTATATCAGCTGTCCACTGATTTCATCACCACGTAAAAGCAACAGGCCAACGTATACAAAGGCCACAATAAAAGCACACCCTAATTTCAGGGGCAAAAAGGACTCCTGAAGTCCACTGTAAATGGTGTTTAAGCCTCCGTTGCTTCATACAGCTGTCAGAGGCAAACAGAGAACCAGGGCTGGCATTGTAGTCTGCTTAGGTGTCTTCTCCATACTCACCATGCCTGCTATACTACCATTGGGATTTCCTAGGAAGAACATACTTCTTCTCCAGATCCAAGCTGTGAACTCAAGTACTGGACCAGGAATAGGGAAGCAACCATATGGATGAGTCTCAACTAGGGATGTGTGTTCAGGTATCTCTGGTTGGAATAAATACCTGGAAAATACCTTATCAGATTTTTCCAGATATGTTTGGATGTCTGGTTGGTATCCAGAATTCTCCAGTACATTGGTAAATGGGTCCTGAAAAATTCCATAAATATTCGGGAGTAAACAGGAATATTGGGAACCAGTGTTTTAAGACTCTCAGGACTGTTTTGCCTTAACTTTGCTGTGTGTCTGTGTCAGTGTGTTCTTGCCAGGACTTGGTATGGGCTTGCCAGGTTGGTTTGGCTTGCATTCTGTGCTTTGAAACTAGTTCTGTTGGTCCTGCACCATTGTGTTCTTTGCTTAAATTGGCTTGCTTTGGATTCTATGGTTCAACATTGGGGGATTAAAGCACACAAAACTTGCAATGAAAATGCGGAATGGATTTAGTTTGACAGTCTTTGGGCCCAGTTAGACTACTCTGGGACTGGAATTACAGCCCCTAGAGTTGAATGAAGCTCCTCTGGGACAGGAATTAGTGCTCTCAGACTAGAATGACAGTCCCCAAAGTAGAATAATGGCCCCTGAGAGTATCAGAAGTGTTCTGAGACAGGAAAGGCAGTTCCTAGAGTGGAAAGACAGTCCCTAGAACCAGATAAACTGTTTTTGGACTGGAATGACTGTCCCCAGAGTAGAATGGTAGCCCCTGAAACCAGCTAAACTATTCGGGGCATTCCAGTCACATTTATGGACAGGAACACATGCTTGCCAGGCATGTCATTCCAGTTCCAGAACACTGATTCCATTGCTAGGGACTGTCTTTCCACTCTCAGGCATGTCATTCCAGTTCCAGAACACTTATGCTACTCCCAGGGACTGTTCTTCCACTCTGGGGACTGTCATTCCAGCCCCAGAGAAGTTTACCTAGTTTCAGGGACAGTCTTTCCACTCTGGGAGCTGTCAAATAATATCAGAATCCCTCCCCCCAAAAAAAACCAACAACCCAGATCCGAATATTAAACCGGTATTTAGGACCTGAATAACCAAGAAAACCAATATTTTCCGGCTCCCTGATGTCTGGATCCAAAAAATACTGATTTTTTCTCATGGTGCACATCCCTATCTCAAAAACAGAAGACTGCAGGGAGCAGTACTGCTACCTACTTCCAAGCCATCTGAAATCCTCTCATACACTGAATTGCTAGTGTGAAGCAGTTCAGTTTTGTAGGTATAACTAAGTCAGAGGGTCTTTGGTGCTGGCAGGATCTTTATCAGTAAAATACTTTGTGGCATGCTGATGAACAAGTATCAAGGATGTAAGCATATCACAAGTGCCCCCCAAATACTTCATTCCTACAAACAAAATAGTCACTTTGGGGGGCTAAAAAGTGGGATATTGATTTTAAAGAAATAAAAATATATGTGTGCACATTTATGGACAGGAACACATGCTTGCATGATGTCTGGGTGACCTGCTGAAACAGGTATGGTTAGATACCATATCTATAAATAAGATCCTCACCATTGCCTCAAGGGGAAAAAAACATTTAGTTTCCCACTTACTTGGGTCTCCTTCTGCATCCAGTAATTTCCCAATCAGCTGTTCATAGGTAGTGCCCACTTTGGCACTGCTGCTGCCTGCTGCTACTGTCAGGTGATACAACCAAGTATCCTTGGGATAAAAAGAGTGATGGTTGAGTGTTGCCGGAAAGGTTATATGATTAACTCTAAAGCATTAAACATGAGGCATGCATTCAAATGTATCCTTTTAATGGGCTTGAGTGATAAAAAGGGCTAATTTGGGCTCTCTGCAGCTCTTACTACATGTTTCTTGATCTCAAGCTACCACAGGGGCCTTTCCACGGAATTCATATTTTGTACATAAAACAGTGCTTTCATAAGTATCATGGAACAAACCAGGAGATCCAGGCCAGACAGCAAGCTCAGTGATTTTTGTGCATTAGCATGTAGTGCCCCCTACACCTTAGCCCCCAGGCTCTTTTTGAGTCAGTCTATACCTTTTCCTGTTTTGTACCAATTAGTAAGTAGACAGGACTCTGATCTGGAGGGTGAATCACCAGGGTGCAGTAAGAAGAAAAGAGGCCCCCACCACTGGCCTCGCCGAAGAATAGATTCTTTTGAACTATGGTGCTGGAGAAGACTCTTGAGAGTCCCCTGGACTGCAAGGAGATCAAATCAGTAAATCCTAAAAGAAATCAACCCTGACTGTTCCCTGGAAGGCCAGATACTGAAGCTGAAGCTCAAATACTTTGGCCACCAAATGAGAAGGGAGCACTCACTGGAGAAGACCCTGATGCTGGGAAAGATAGAAGGTAACAGAAGAAGGGGACGGCAAAGGATGAGATGGTTAGACAGTGTTATCGAGGCAACAAACATGAAATTAAGCAAACTCCGGAGCACAACAGAAGACAGGAGGGCCTGGCATGATGTGGTCCATGGGGTTGCGAAGAGTTGGACTCGACTGTGCAAGTGAACAACAACAAAAAGTACGCATGGTGCAGCACATGTACTGCACGCCACACTTAAGTGGAACTACTGTTGTGCTGGAAAAGGTGCAGGAAAGGGTGACTAAATGATACAAATAGGACCAAAGGAACAGAGGAGTTGGAGCAGTTTCTCTGTGGAGGAAAAGCTAAGGAATTTGTAATACTGACAGTTGAGTTTATCTCCCTTAACCCATGTGATCCAGTTTTGTTTTTAAAAATAGACACTCACCCCTCTTTGAGAATCCTGGTAATGGAAGGATAAGCTTACTCACATACTAATTCACACCTTTCACGGCCAGCTGTACAAGTGAGAACTTTAACTGGTTATGGAATAAGGACACTTTCTCCCATATATATGAAATCTGGGAGGAAAGGTCCTTTGGGTGACCGTCATCCCAATTGTGTGTGTTATATATGAATACGTATTTTCCCACAGGGGGTTGTAAAACTGAATATAGAAGAGAGGGAAGATGTCTACTACAACTGATGTGAAGAAATGAAAATTACTCAGCAGAGGAAGGGAGGAAAATACCTTGTCTTCATGATTTCGATAATAGTAAAAAGTCTTTCCAATCAGTGCACACCAAACCAGCTTAGAGCGCCCATGTTTCACCTGTAGAAATAGCATAGCAATGAAAATATCATCTCACTGTATTGATTTATACCCCACTTTTCTCCCCAATGGCAGAGCTTAGGCTGTTAGGTATTCTCAGGAGTGTCATGGAAAACTAAAAAAGGAAGGGTGCAGTCTCTCTTCAAAATGTGGGAACGGAAGAGCCTCTTCTATTCGAAATGAGCCAGACTCTGATGACACAAAATGATCTCCCATGTTTTTTCAAGTATTGAAGTGGCTAAAGAAGTGCACAGAAAGGGAGTTATTCCTCTTTCTCTCTCTCATACACCATTTTTCTGATGTCAAACTGCCCCATCCAGATTTACTATTTCCCCCCATGCAAAAAATGGCAGTGGTAGAAGTGATTTAAATTGGGAAAACAGCATACAGAGGAAAGGGGCAAGCCCCCCCCCCGCAACACCAAAATTGGAATCCCCACCTCACTCCCATGGATGTTGTTAACACTTTTAAGAAACTGCAGGCAAGCTGTTCACATCTGGCTATCACTCATCTGCTCAGCTTAGTCCTGAGAGAAGAGATGGTGGATCCTGGTTTAAATTATTTGTAAACCTAACCTAATAGTTAGGATCTGTTATGGAAGAAATCATTTTTATCTTGTCACAACAATTAAAATATTTTGCATATTTAAGGTTTTCACAAAAGATGGCAAATTGATCCACCTTTGCTGTCCCATATCCTGTTCTGTATGTGGCTATGGGACAAGCCAAACTGCATCTGGTAGAGCGATGTAGTACCTTGGTGAGCCAGCCTTTCACAGTGGGTTTTGCATCACTGAGAGGGACTTCGGTGTGTCTGGTCACTTTCACTTTGATCATATTTTGAAGGATAAGGATCCACTCCTCCAAGATGTTAGGAGAGTCAGCTGTCAAGAAGTAGGTCCTTTTTGCAGTGACAAGCTAAAGTAAAAGGGAAAGTCACAAGCTACTACCATAAGGCACAAAGCAGTTTTGTAGTGGTTGAGGTCTTAAGTATTAAAATCCTGGTTGCATTCACTTTCCAACAATGAATACTCAAGAAAGACCTCAAAACTTAAAAAGTTAACATTGCTTTTTTAATGTTACAGAGAACACTGAAGCTTAAGCCACTCTGTGATACTTAAGTGTGCTAAGCAAGGAAACCGTTCAACTACTTTCTCCTTGACAAAGAGTCCATTGGTACTAGTGACTTGCCATAAGAATGACAGTGCATTCGCTAATGACAAATTGCTGAAGGGTTATTTGTTATGATATATGCTCAGAATTTAGTTGTTCCTTAAGAATTTTTATGCATATTAAATTGAGATGGATACAATATGTGGACTGTCTCTTTTAGAGAACTCCTAGTGCCATTCAGTTTTGGATTAACCAGAAAAGTCCCAATATCCTTTTTGATGACATTTTACATTCAGCTTATATTATACACGTTGGGCAACATAGTCTGTCCTGAATAAGAAGCTACAAGCAGAAGTTTTAACTATTGCCATTAATAGTTAACAAGTTTTATATGAAATAAATGAATTTGATCCTCTGGAAGATTTAAGCAGTCAGAAGATGGGCAATTTTTGCAGATTCCCCACTCCTGTGGTAGACCTTCAATTCCGCCTTCAGTCCCTTGGCCCTCAGAAGCAGCATTTCAGGGGAGCATTTTGGTTTGCAGCAGGAGCATGGATTTATGATCCAGGGCTGGAAATCCCTTTGTCCTGTTCAGCAG